CAACACCCTTTCATAATAAAAAAAACTCAACAAACTAGGACTAGAAGGAAACTACCTCAATACAATAAAAGCCAGATATGAAAATTCTGTAACAAACCTCATCAAACATCAATGGTGAGAGACTGAGCTTTTCCTCTAAGATCAGGAACAAAGCTAAAATGCCCACTTTGGTCACTTCTACTCAACATAGTATTAGAAGTCCTCACCTTAGCAATTAGGCAAGAAAAAGAAGGAAAAGGCATTCAAATAGAAAGAATGAAATAAAATGATCTGTTTACAGATGATATGATATTATATTGTAAAAAACCCTAAAGATCCCACAAAAAGAAACTTAGAATAAATAAATTCAGCAAAGTGCAGGATACAAAGTCAACACTGAAAAATCAGTTACAGTTTTGTTCACTAACAATGTACACTAACAAAGAAAATTAAGAAAACAATTCCATTTACATTAGCATCGATAGAATACAATAGGAATTACTGTCACCAAGGAGGTGAAATATTTATTCACTGAAAACTATAAAACATTTCTGAGAGACATTAAAGATTTGAATAAATGGAAAGATGTTCCATGTTCATGGATTAGAAGACTTAATAGTAAGATGTCAATAGCACCAAGGTGATTTACAGATTTAATAAAATCTTTACCGAAATCTCAATGTTGATTTTTTTACAGATAGAAAAATCCTTTCTAAAATTAATAACAATCCTCAAGAGACCCCAAATAGCATAAAAAATCCTAAAAGAAAAGGACAAAGCTGAAGAACTCACACTTTCTGATTTCAAAACTTACTACAAGGCTATAGTAATGAAAACTGTGGTAATGGCATAAAGACAGGTAACATAGACCAATGGAATAGAAGAATAGGGAGTCCAGAAATAACCCTTGCATATATGGTGAAATGATTTTCACCATATGGTGAAATGGTCATGACCATTCAATGGGGGAAAAGACATTTTTCAACAAACAGTGCAGGAAAAACTGGATTTCCACCTGTGAAACAATGAAGTTGGAACCTTACCTAACACCACACATAAGGATGAACTCAAAATGGGCCCGTAACCTAATGTAAAATCTAAAACTATAAAAGTTTAGAAGAAAACAGAGGGCAAAATCTTCACAACATTAGAGTTGGCAATAGTTTCTAGGATATCACATCAAGAGCACAGACAACTAAAAAAATAGACAAATTAGCTTTTGTGAAAATTAAAAAGAAAATTATGAATAAAAAAGCAACCTACAAAAAAAAGCAACCTACAGAATGGGAGAAAATATTTGCAAATCATTTTTATGATAAGGGATTAATACCCATAATACATAGAGAACTAAAAATCAATAATGAGAAACCACCAAACAACCTGATTCAAAATGAGCAAAGGACTTGAACAGACATTTCTCTAAAGAAGAATTACCAATGGCCAATAAGCACACAAAAAGATGCTCAATGTTACTATTAGGGAAATACAAGTCAAGGTTATGAGATACCACATCACACTCATTGGGGTAGCTACTATAAAACCCCCAGAAAACAAGAAGTGTTGGAGGGAATGTGGGGGAACTTGAATTGTTTGCTGGGAATGTAAAGTGGTAGAGCGATTGTGGAAAACAGTGTGGTGGTCCCTTAAAAAAATAAAAGTGGGTTTACCATACACGTATGGTCCAGCAATTCCACTTCTGGGTATATACTCAAAAGAATTCAGAGTAAAGAGGTAGTGTACACCCACATTCACAGCAGTACTATTCACAATGGGTATGTATAACAAGCAAGCAACCCAAGTACCCACCCAATGATGGATGAATGGATAAGTATAATGTGGTCTGTATGTACAATGGAACGTTATTCAGCCTTAAATGGGAAGGAAATTCTGACACCTACTACGACATGGGTGAGCCTCAAGGAAATTATGCTAATAAAATAAGCCAGCCACAAAAGGACAAACATTAATGATTCCAATGATATGAGATACTTACCTCGAAAATTGTAGACAGAAGGTAAAATGGTGGCTGTCAGGGGCTGGGGGAGGGGATGGGAAATTAAGGGTTTCATGGGGACAGATATCAGTTTTGTGAAATGAAAAGAACTGCAGAGATGGATGGGCACAACAATATCAATGTACTTAAGACCACTGAACTATACACTTAAAAATGGCTAAGATGATAAATTTTGTTATGTGTATTTTACCACAATTTTAAAAAATTGGAGGGGAAGCTCTTACAAATTAGTAAAACATTGGAGCCCATGAGGCAGTTGGGGAAATTATCAACACTACAGTAACAATATTTCAGTCAGTAGTCAAAACATGGTAAACTGCACAAAAACCAAAGACACGCAGACAAACCAACAAGGCGGCATTCCTCGTCTGTGACATTGGCAAACAAGAAAAAAGTCAGTGACTCTGCCCTTCGTCGGTCCCTTGTGACAGACACCAGGGCCCTTCTCCACTTCTCTGGTGGGCGTGTGGCAACAACCTTGAAAAAGCACTGACACCTTTCACAAGCTTTGACCTAGACTCTGTTCTCCTGGGAGCAGGGGCCCCACACAGCTGTCCACTCCTCACCTGCTCATTGCAGTGTCTACAGTGGGCCACCACCGCTGGTGTGGCGTGGGGCGTTGACACGTGTTGAGTCCCCAGTGGGTCTGTGGTGAATGCTGCTCTGACATGGCCCAAACCCAATATGCGCCCTCAGAGGGGAGCTGCGCCCCCCAACCCCGCCCCCAGCCTGTTCAATGAGCTGGACCCCATGAACCCAGGGTCTTCTTTGGCTTTGCACGAATGTGCGAAAGGAACCACAAGAGGGGCTGACCCAGTGAAATGTGGGGCCATGTTATAAAAAAATCAAACTATAATATTTGTGTTCTTCCTGAAACAATCACAAGAACTAGTTTTCCCCGGATCGTAAAGTGTTTTGTGGTTGCAAACATGATCTACCCACACCCCATGTGCATGGAGACCCCCGCAGCAGCCCTGGCAGGTAAAAAGGGCAGGTGCTGTTCATTTGTCCTGACCTCATTCTACAGATGAGAGGCCGGAGGCCGCAGAGGAGGGTGGGGGAGGCCCAGGAAGAGCCGTCGGGCCCAGCTCCTTCTCCCAGGCACCGGCCATTCCTTTTCCGTCCTGGTCCATGCCTGCTGGGGAGCTCGTCTGAGGCTCCTCTGCTGTCCGGGGCTCCCCGCATGCCTGAGGGATCACAGGCGGCCCCCTCCACAACAGAGCCACCCGTGCCAGCTGGCAATGCAGAGTCACCTCTGGGTGTTGGTGTGTACTGCCCAGTGTGAGGGACCTGTGCCCCACCTGACCAGGTGGCCCAGTGGATGAAGCCCAACTGTTGCCCTAGACATTACCTTCCCTGTGGCTTCTCCTGCTGCAGATGAGCCCAGCAACTGGCCCAGCCAGCTGTGTTCTGCACAGGCCTCCCAGGTCACTTTCATCAGCACAGGGTGGTACCTCTGAAGTGGCCAGGGTGGCCCAGAGGCCTACTGAAACATATGTCCAGCCAAGGGGACACACCTGGGCCCTGGCTACCCAGCCCCTCAGGGTACCAGGAAATCAGGAGTTTCCAAGTCAAGTATGCCTGGGGCCCAAGCCCTCTCCCCTGCCCCACTCTCCTGCTTCTGAATGCCTGAAGGAAGGCAGACAGTTTCCCAAATGCCTGTCCCGCCTCCCAGCCTCGGATGTTAGGGAAACGTAAGATGGCCTCCTGGCCAGAACTCCTGTATTGAAAGGAAAACGCCAGGGAAATCTGTGGATCTCAAGCCTACTTCTTTTTGGACATCCATCTGAAAGTGAAATTCCTCTCCTCTGGGACAGCTGGGTAGACCAGGGCTGTGGGCGTGGGAGTTGGCTGTCTCTTCTCTGGGTACAGGGCCATATTCTAGGTGGGCACTGGGTGGAGTGGTGGGAACACCTGGGTCACCACACCCTGCTGTTTGGTGTGTTGTTACTGTGTTACTAGGGTCAGTAGGCCTCTCAGAGACTGACCCCCGCCCCCAGTCCCTGAGGGTGCTGGGACTCAGCTGGGATGGGTGAGGAGTCCTGGGTGGGGCGGGGCCTGGCCCAGCAGGGAAGCCGCCACAGGCCCGGGCTGGGCTCCCCCCGTTACTCCCTGTAACTGCCTCTCGGCCCCCTGCTTAGTCTCCCAGCGTAGTTTTGGGGAGGAAGCCAGGGTGTGAAGGGCTCCTCCAGCCACAGGGGAAAGGGGGAAAGGCTGGGTTGTTGCTCACTCTGAGGGGGGGCGGGTGTAGGACCTGCCTCCCTCCCCGCCCTGTTCCTGCCCTTGGTGCATTGGAGACCCCGTCCTCCCCTGGTGCCTCCAGAGCTCATTCTGTCCTGGCTTCTCTTCCTAGGAGGAAGAGCACCCTCTTCCTCAGCCCAGGGGAGAGGGGCCAGCACCGTTGGAGACCCTGTGCCCAGTTCCACATCACAGTGGGGGGTGTCTTCCCAGGGGGTCACTTGGGCCCTCAGCTCTGAAGGTGTCTTCCAGGCCGCAGACCTCCCGGGCCTATTCGAATAGATCTGAATTCAGATGCTGAGCCCCTCTGGCTATTTGGTTACTTGGAGGGGTGTGAGGTCCTTGCAGACGGCCCCAATTTCTGCATCTTAGCATTGAGTCCAGGAATAAGGAAGGATTCCCCTTCCCAATTGCGTCCCAGAAGAGACCAAGTGGGGGGTCAGCACGCAATTAACTCGGCACCCCCTGGTCCCACCGCCGAGGCCGCTAAGGCGTGGACGTGAGGAACTGTGACCTAGCGCCGAGCAGTTGCAGCGGGGCCGTGAAAGAGGGCCCATTACCGAGGGGCGGGGAGAGCCCACAGGGACTCCGTCCTAGGAGGGCCCATCCCGGGTGCCCTCGGGACCCAGGTCCTCGGCGCTCCTGTCCTGTCCTGTCTGGCAGGATTTGCTCGCGAGCGGGATGCAGCTCCAGGCGGCTGTCCGGATCCCAGGGCCAGACCACACGTCCCCACGCAGAGGGTCCGGGTCCCGGGGTGAGGGGTGCTTACCTGACCCTGAGCGCGCGCGGGGCGCCCTCGCCGGACAGGTCCCGAGGAGGCTCCGGGTCTTGACCGCCGAGAGTCGGCGCGGAGTGGGCAGGAGGGAGGGGACCACGGGAGGGGCCGCGGTCTTTATACCCACCCCGCCCCCTCCCAGCCCGCCCCCAGATGCGCGGCCACCGGGAGGCGCTGCGGCCACGCGTATGGGCCAGTAGGGGGTACCGCGGGCAGAGGGGGCTGTAGGGGAACCCGGGAAGGGCCAAATGGGAGTGGGGCGGAAAAGCTCCCCTCCCGCACCCAAGGCGCGGGCAGGGTGGGGCACTGCCACTTTTCCCGAAACAGTCCTGGGCGAAGTCAGAGGCGCTCCCCACGACCGGCCGGTCTGTGCTGCCCTCTCCCCACTTGCCGGGCCCGCGTCCACTCGGGGTTGGGGACCACGCCCGGCACCGAGGGTTGACGAGGGGCGAGCTGCACTCCCCCTCAAAGGAGCTGCCCCTGGCTGCTGCGGCGCAGGACCCTCCGCCGGGGCATCCCCCAACTCAGAGTCCCCAGCTCAGTGTCTCCCTGCACAGAGGGGCTCCAATTCACTCCGTCCGGGGACCCACAGCTCCCGCAACGCCACAGGTCGGAACATGAGTCCTTCCTTGGTGGCCTCCTCCAGCCCTGAGGGCCCTGGGCTGACAGGGGCAAGGTCGGAGATTAAGGGCCTGCCGTAAAGCCTGCGAAGGGCAAGGGTAAGGGGGACAAGCCGGAGCCTCAGGTGCTCTGGGTGGGGAGTAAGGTCCCTCTTCCTTGCAAGAACCCCAAGGTACCCTCGGGGTTGGGCCCCGAGACACTGTGATGTCCCTACTGTGGTGGGGATCCCCACTCTTGACTGCCGAGCGGCAGGCCCCCAGGACAAGGGCTTCACCCTGAGGTGAGATGTTGGGAGGACTGGGGGCTAGGACTGTGGGACAGGATCGCAGCACCACCGTCCCTGGCTGGGGGCGGGGGCGGGGGCAGGCGCTCCCTGCGGCTCCAGCCTTAGATGAGCAGCCCCACAAACCTCCGGTTGAGCTCTCTCCCACGGAAAGCAGAGACCCCAGAGCTTCCTGGTCAGCTGTTTGGGCCCCAGGAGGCCCTTGTGTGCATACCCTCTGGTCTTCCCGACCACCTCTTTCCATCTGCGCCTTGATTTCGTGCCCCTGGGTCCCATCTCCCTGCCAGATAATAAGTGCCAAAGGCAGGGGTCTGTAGCGGCAACTGTGTTCTTGGTGGGCCCGGCAGTGGTGGCTATTCAAACAGGAGGAACAGCTTCCTGTGTGAGGAGGGACAGGCTGCCCCTCTCTGCTCGCCAAGGTCCCGAGAGTTTGCCCTGGTCTCCCACCTGTTTCCGGCTCCCACAGCCCCTCAGGCTGGACGTGCGTCAGTGCCCACTCCTCTGCTTTTTACTGCCTCCCGCCTGGGCAATGTCAGCCAAGTGCTCTCCTCGGCCACCTTTCCTGTGGACGGTGGGTATTGGAGCCAGGGGGCACTGGAGAGGGTGTGTGTGTGTGTAAGTGCCAGAGTGTGTGTGGTGTGCACCTGTGAGCATGGGAGTGCACGTGTGTCTGTGTGTCATGACCGAAGCTCCGCCCCTGCTCCTGAGGCACACTGACGAGGGGCCTGTGTGCTGCCCTCAGCGTCCCCCTGCTTTCTCCCAGGGCCCCACTTCCCACGGGCTGCTTCCTAGGTAGGAATACAGGCCCACTCCTTTGATTAGGGACTCATTGGCTCTGTGTGCTCCCATCAGCCTGCCATTCCCCCCACCCCGCCCCCACCTCTCCTCCCACTCTGTCTTTCAGGGGTCTCTCCGCTGTGGTCTGCAGGTTCCTGTGTCATCTTCGGCCCCTCCTCGGATCCTTCGCAGCCGCTCTCCCACAGATCCCTGGTCGCATCCAATCTTGCTTAGGTGCCTCTGCAGAGGACCCCAGTGGGCGCAGGGCATGCAGGAGGGGGTTCCTGCTGGCTCACCCACCACTGGCAGGTGAAGGGGACACTGTCCTTGTTAGTGTGAGAGGTACAGGTAGTTCCTGGAACAAGGTGGAAGCCCAATTGCTGGATTTCATCAGGGGTGACCTGGGAAACTGTCCCTGTGGAAGGGGGCAGCTCTCAGGTATGAGGACTCAGGTGTTTGCAGGGGGCAGTGGGTTGGCTGCTGAGTTGCACTGATGGACCCACAGAGGGATAAGGGAGCTGCCCTGCAGTGAGGGGCTCGGAGTGAGGACCGGAGGCCTCTCTGGCCTGGGGAGAAATCACATCTCTGGCAGAGGACATGACGAGAGGACACAGGCTGCCGGTGAGTTTGAATGCTCACTGACGCCGGTCTGTGAAGGTCAGGACCCCAGCCAGGATCACTGAGACGTGACCTGGGACATCCAAGGGGAAGCCTGAGGACATGGATCTGTAGGCCCTTGACCTCTCAGAGCCTTTGGAGGGCCACCCCTTCCTCCTAAGAACCAGCACTGTGCTGGAAGATGCTGAGCTCCTGCATCCCCACAAGGCACCAAGCGCCCTCATCAGACGCCGCCCTACCCTGTCCTCTGACTGCCAGGCTGTGATCCAGGAGAAAGGCCGACTTAACCTAGATGAGGACGTGCCGGGCCCGGTCAGGGAGGGAAGGAGCTGCCAGCAGGCAACTGCAGGAGCCAGAGGCACCCCTGGGGAGTGATGCTGGGTCACTGACTCAGGGGCCGGCGCAGAAGACAGGAAGGAAGCATTAACTGACTTAGAGGCACTTTCTCGGAACATGGAATTTAATCTCCTGGCAAGCTCTTCAGGCCACGAGCAAACTTAGTTCTGGGGAAGCTGTCAGCCCCTGCTGAGCAGAGCGGACATGCACAAGCTGCTCTGGTAGGTGGCCATGGAGGAACGAAGGGGCAGGGGCCCAATAAGAAGGCGTGGCCCTGCTCTGTTCTTGGACTGCAGCTGATTTTTTCCATCCGGAAGTGCCGACTGCAGAGGTGGCCAGGCACCAGGAGGAGGGACCAGGCCACACCTGCACACACATACACTGTGATATCCTCCAGTTCTCCCCCAAAGAGACCTACAACATTTACTGGGTGACTGAACATTGGGGAAAGGACTGTCAAGACATTTCGAGGACAACTGGACAGGGATTCTGAGTGGACGCCAACATCAGGAGACCCAAAGTGTCATCGTGGCCTCCCTGTTGGCAGAGGGGCCAGGTAGTAAAAGGAATCCTGGCTGGAGTGTTGGTCACTCTGGGTCCCCTGGTCAACAGACCACCCAGTGGTCATTTCCCCGGTCCCCAAGTGTGTCATTGTACCCTCACACTGGGGTCCTGGTCGTGCGCTTGAAGACATTGTGGGAGGGACATGCAAGGGAGAACCTTGAACACTGCCCCCTCCGCAGCCTGGATGGAAAAGCACAAACGGCACGGCGTCCCTGGAGGTCAAGGCCTGGAGGATGCAGCCGTGGTGGCCAGTCTCATCTCCGTCAGGTCAAGGGCTGGTCTGGGCCTTGCAGAGAACATCAGACCCTGGACAGTGACCCCGAGGCTTCACCAAGTGGCAGCTGGACCGCATCTGCTGTGCCGCACGTGATGTCCTTGTCACAGCAGATTGATAAGGCTATTGATTAGCAATTACCTTTTTTTCATCCCACTTAGAAAAAAGGATTAGAACAGTTTGCATTCACATGGGAGGGACGGTAATACTCATTTACTGTTGGCTTCAGGGCTGTGCTAACTCGCCCTCTGTCCTAATACAGCCTGAGGAGACCTTGACCTCTTGGACATCCCACGGGACACGAGACAGACTTGTTACAGGAATGATGTTCTGCTGACTGGGCAGGACACGGGGAGGAGCCTAGTGTGCTGGAGGCAGTAAGGTCCATGTGCTCCAGCATATGGAGGATGGGAGACAAGCTTGGTAAATCCAAGGACCTGCACCTCAGGGGAGTTCCTAGGGGTCTGGTACTCAAGGGTGTGCCAGGATAGCCCCCCGCAAAGTGAAAGCCTAATTGCTGCATCTTGCACCCCCCACTTCAAAGGAGGGAGCACAGGGCTCGGTAGGCCTTTTGGGTTCTGAAGGCAACGCGGTCCATTTTGAGGAATACTGCTCTGGCTCATGTCTCACGTGGTGCAGAGGTATCTGGCTTGGAGGGGCCAGGAGCAGGGATATCTGTGTGGCTGGCCCAGGCTGGGTGCTTGGACCACGCTGTGTAGGAGGTGGCAGTGGGGGCAGAGATGCCCAGAGGAGCTCGGGTGAGCTGGGGCTCAGCAGCAAGGCCGCGCACCTGCAGAGCCTTCACCTGCAGGGAAACACTTCCTCCTCCCGGCAGGGCGGCTGTCACCCCTAGCTTCTGCCCTCCGGACACCAGGCTCTGGCTTTGAGTTGGACCCGTTGGGGAGGCTGGACACTTGCTTTGCAACCTTGTATGTTCCTACCCCTTCCTTCTGTGGGGGGATCCAGTGGTAACGACCGGCACCCCACATGGTGGGTCTTTGTTTGCCTCTCCAGGTGGTAATGAAAGCATCAGTCACACAACTGCTCCACGCCTCCCGAGGACCATTCCACACAAGTCACTGCACCTGCAGCTCACGAGCCACTCCATATAGCTCCCCCCTGCCCTCTGCATTAAGGGAAACAGGCTGGAGGGCTAAGTGACCTTTCCAAGACCCCACGGCCAGCCAGGGCAGGGTTAGGCAGAGAGTGAGCTCTTTGCAGGGGTCCTGGGACCCTGGTATTGCCCTCTCGTTTCATACTGCAGCCCACCCCACCCTTGGCTGTGGGGTGACAGTGAGCTCTGCAAGGTGTGGGACAAACCTCAGACCACAGCAAAGATACCAGATGCCCGCGTTTCTGTGGAAACCAACAGGGCCTCCCAAGGTGACTTTACTGAGACAGCCTTGGAGGCACCGGACTCGGCCTTACTATCTTTGTTACTGTCTCTTCTCAGACCAGACTTGTTCCCTTCGATTTGCCGAGAGGTGCGCTTGTTCTGATGTTCTCGAATGCAGGTGGGCTTGGTCTGCTCCCTCCTCGTCCTGCCCTTCTTGGCATCCCCGTGTGCTGGGCCCACAATTGTGCCAGCACCCACACTGCCCCCTTG